TATTCTCAACAGTCTTGAAGCCGCTGAAAAAAAGTAAGTTTTGTTTATTAATTATACAGCTATGCTTATTATTTCTAACTTTTAGGTCTTCAGAAGAAAAAAACTTATCTCTTATTCCGTTTATCAGGACTACTCCTTCTAAATGCACTCCGGCAAAGGCTTTTCGCAACAAGCGCCCACCACCTAAATCATCATCTGTCAACAAGTTGCGCAGATCTAAGCGACGCCTTGACATTGAGAAAGCTGGTAGCTCTTCAAAAGTCTCAAAAACGGCGCTTGACGGCAATTCTACGCCTGCCAAACTCCTCACTACCGGCAACGTTCGACGGGAACTTTCTCCATCCCCTTATACTCTACGTCGTCTGGAAGCTGAGCGAGAGAAGGAGATAAAGTTGATTGCTTCTGAAGACAAACGAAAGAAGGCCGATGAAAAGAAGCAAATCCTTCTGAAGACTCGTGCTCAGCTCCTCAAAGAAGAGCGTGAACTTCGAATGGAAAAGATTCGCAAGAACAAGTTGGCACTTGAGGAGCAAGCTAAAGAGGCAGCCGAAGCTAAAGGTTCAAATGAGCTGGGAAGTCCTACCGGTCCGCGACGCTGCCAATTTCGACGAAAAGTGCTTGATAAGATAGTCAACACTGAAACTACTGGACCTCAAACCCGAGCAGCTAGAGCTAGGGCTGCAGCTGAGGCTTCAACCACACAGACTACTGGAAATAATGAGAACGGAACCAACTCCACTCGACCAAAAGGTACTGTGAAGAAGGGGCTTGCTAAAAAAGTCTCAAAGAAGTTGGCCGCAAGCAAGGAGAAGCCTTCTGGTAAAGTACAATCAAAAGCAACTAACGTCAAACCAGTGCCAACATTGAATGAAATTGCCAATTTATCGCCCATTGTTTCCGAAAACCGCCCCAAAAAAGGCATCAACACTCGCCTGAGTGAAACCTTCACCTTTGAAGCCAATACATCTGCTAAAAATGTAACTTTTGCAGTGCCTCAGGCAGTGCCCCTGACTAAAGCTGCTGCTGCTGCTGCTGATAGTCCTCATTGCAACGCCTTTCACTCTACCAAAGGGCTGCTAACTCCCACTGCGGCCATCAAGAGTGCTGTGTCACAATACCATATTACGCCGCCACCTCCCAACTCTCCTTTTCTGGATGAAAATTACGACATTAGCAAATATATTGACTCGGACGATGAGGAGGCACAGGAAGAGGCTCAAGTAAAGTCTGGTCAGAAACGAATGCCGTCTTGGGCCGGGGTGAAGGTGAATCTTCTCAAGCTGCTCAAGAGGCAATTTAGCCGACCACCGGAGACTTTGGTCGCTCAGGCGGCTCAAATTTTTCCCGCTCCTCTAATGCCGGTGCCACTGGATGAGATGGGTCTGCCAGTTAAAGAGAAATACGTCACTCGCAGCAGCTCGGTCGACTGGAAGACTATCGCCCAGATTAACCAGCAGCTGGAAAGCAACAAGTGATACTGCCATCAAAGAGGGAGCAAGAGTATTCCCCATAATTATGAAAGTAAACTTTATTCTAAATTATTAACTCCCAAAAACTAAATTATTATCAAAACTATTATCCATTTGAAGTTGAGCTCATCTTTTTCTTTGAGGGAGCACTTTTTGCAGTTCGGAGGTGTGAGGAGGACATCTTTCGAATGGACTGTCTCTTCTTTGTTACGAGACTCTGCCTCTTCCCCACTTTGCTTCCCATTGAGGAGCGTTTCATCTGCCCACTGTCCTTTCTCATAGTACTCACAAGGCCGTTTTTCACTTCTTCGCCTGCTGGAGCACTGTTTCGCTTGTGGAAGTAGTGGTAGTATATGCAAATAAAAGCCACCAGGTAGACGATGATGAAGAACATTACGCCCACGGTGATTTCTAAAACAAAGGTCAAGGGGTTCTCTGTGGTAGCTGGGTTGGCGAAGAAAGAAGCAGTTGTAGGCATTAATGGTTTGAGCTTCTCTTCATTTCGTTTTCACACTTACTACTGGTGGGTAGAACTTGTGACCAGGCATCGGCAGGGTCGGTTTTGTGCATCTTTACTGCTGCCCCGTCGAGGACACTTTTGTTGAAGTAGTAAACCTCATTTAAAATAGTGAGGAGAACGATGGAAGCATCTCCAACGACGCCGGATTGGACGTTTCTCGGTGCGCTGGCTGGACAGCTTTCGCCCTTCCTCAGAACTACATTTTCACCCTCATCAGTGTACTGGCAGAGAAAGCCCAAGAACTCCCTCATGCAGAGGGTGGATGAGGGCACATTTCGAGCATCACTAAAGGTGATCTTGGAAAAGTTACCCAAGTAACCGTCAAAGCTGTAGAAGGTGCCTGGTTCGTTCGAAGAGAGGTATGCTTTTCCGAATTGAGGGGAGATACAGGAAGCTATGGCATCATCGCCCTTCACTTTGATAGGCGCTGAAATGCCAATCTCCAAGTTCACTACGTTAATGCTTTTGCTGTTCAGCATGACGAGTTCAGTGCCCGACGAGTCCACGGTGGTGAAGATAGTGAAAACACTGTCCCTTACATTGTAGGCTGACAACTTTCGGACAACTTTCATATGGGTAAACTTGCCTTCAGCCAGTTCATCACTGCTCTCCAACTGGTAGCCTCCACCAAAGTTGACCAAGTTTTCGCAGACCAGGAGAAACGTTGCCGATGTGCTGCTGCTTATGCCAATGGCGTAAACGTGTATTTTATTGTTAACTAGGTCCTTAGCGAGTTCCTTAAAAACAAAAATCAAATTCTGTTTTTATGAACATCAAAGTGTTACCTCGATACTGGGCGTGTCGCTGTTGTCTTGGGCTACTAAAAGATGAACACAAAGTGCAAAAAGTAGAATCATTGGATAACAGAGATAAATGCTCATTGTTTTGAGGTTTTAGGGTTCTTGTACAAGTCGATGAAAAATAAAACAGAAAGCTGACTGTAACAGTTTACTTTATCATCCTACTTTACACAGTTCTAACTTTTGAAAACTATTGTTAATGCTATCAAAAAAAGCGATGTGGTCAAAGAGTAGCAATTAATTACAATTTTAAATACTTTTTCAAAAAAATTAAAACAAAAGGTGGTTCATTTGCTAGAATCCGTTGCGTACCAAAACAACGGGCGGAGAAATGGTAAAGAGATCAAGAATTCAGGATGATGACTTGGAGGCATCCTTCGAAGACGACTTGCTGCCATCGGCCGCAGAGGAGCCGGGTGCTGAAGCGACCTTTGAGCCACTGGCCTTCTTTGAGGCCGACTTGGAAGAAGATTTAGAAGCAGAGGAAGAGGAAGCCGCATCGGATGTCTTTGAAGAGCTCTTCTTGCTGTTAGAAGTGCCGCTTTTACTGCCACCACCACCAACAGCACCACCGTCCGAAGTCTTTGACTTTAGCTTATATGTAGAGCCGGAGGGAATTTCCTTTGACTGGCTTGCCTCTTTCGAGCTAGCAGCAGAAGACGCCTTGCTTTTGCTCTTCTTTTTGGAGGCAGACAAAGAAGATGATGAGGACGAGTGACTTTTGCTCTTCTTCTTCTCTGACTTTACTTTTTTGGCAGCAGCGTCTGCTGACTTTGGTTTTGCCTCCTTCTTCTTCTGTTTCTCACTAGCACTGCTCAAAGACTTGTCGTTTGCCTTTTTCTTGTCATCTTTAGACTTCTTCGTCTTTTTCTCTGACACCGATTTGCCCGCCTTCTTAGCAGCTTCCCCAGGCTTTTTCGGTATCGAACAGGCATCGGCGACGTTGACCATCACTCCAATGGGCTTCTGACCGGGCATCAGTTTTGAGCGATTTGTCACATCGGTCTCCATCGAGTGGTAGTTGGCAAATTTGCTGCTCATTTCATCCTTGCTCGCACTACTCGGAGCGCTGCTCTTCTTTGGATCTGCCATAATGGACTTTGTGCTGCTGCTGGCGCCACTGCCGCTGCCTTCCTTGGATTTTTCATCTGGAGAGGAGAGCGGAGGAGCGCCCTTACCAAGAGCCTTTGCGCCTTCTTCTGCCGCAGATGACTTTGGCTTGCTGGTGCTACTTCCAGGCTTGGACTTTTCATCTGCCGAAGAAACTTTTGATGATTTCTTTCCGTCAGCTGACTTTGGCTTTTTCAGACTGGCTGAGCTTCCTGGTTTGGACTTTTCATCAGCAGAAGACGCTTTTGAAGACTTTTTGCCATCAGCTGATTTAGGTTTCTTTGAGCTCACGCCACTTT